TTCTTTCTTTCTTTCTTTCTTTCTTTCTTTCTTTCTTTCTTTCTTTCTTTCTTTCTTTCTTTCTTTCTTTCTTTCTTTCTTTCTTTCTTTCTTTCTTTCTTTCTTTCTTTCTTTCTTTCTTTCTTTCTTTCTTTCTTTCTTTCTTTCTTTCTTTCTTTCTTTCTTTCTTTCTTTCTTTCTTTCTTTTCTTTCTTTCTTTCTTTCTTTCTCTCCTTTTTTTTTCTGCCAGCGAAGCATCAGTATGAGAATCCCCTTCTCCATGGGTCTACTTACACAGTCCAAAAAAACATGGATTTGCTAAGGCGGCTTAGGAAGCTTTAGCTACTGCTGCCCAGCCCGTGGCATTTGTCCAGGGTCTCTGGAAGCCTGGCAGAAGCCCAGGCAGAGCAGCAAACAGCCCAGGCACAGAAAGTTAAATTTACTGTGGGCAGGACTCCTGCCTCCTTCTCAGACCTGGGATGCTGTTCTCTACATCTGTCTCAGGAACGCCTGGTTTGCTGAAGGCATGTCAGGGATTTCACCAGCAGGTGCATAGCATGAAACTCATGGAATCAGAATGGCTTTTGTTGGAAAGGACCTTAAAAGATTACATAGTTTCAACCCCCATGCCATCAGCGGGGGATACCTTCCACTAAACCAGGTTGCTCAAAGCCCCATCCAACTTGGCCTTGAACACTTCCAGGAATTCACATTCCAGGTTGCCACAGCTTCTCTGGGCAACCTGTTCCAGCACCTCACCACTGTCACAGTAAAAAATTTCTTCCTAATATCTAACCTAACCCCCATGTATCACTGTATGCCCTTGTAAAAACTCCCTTTCCAGAAGAGCAAAACTTCCAGAACCACCCCAGTGCACCATGCTAGATCCTGCTCATCCCACCTTTTCACCTGCACTCCTCAACCCAGAGGCTGCCAGATGGGCCCAAGAGTGGTCAAGGACTGCAGTGCCCTTTAGTCTCACACAGGTCTGTGCAGAGCTCGTTCCCACAGAGGTGAATCTCTGCCCTACCTTTGTGCACAGATCAGCTGGTCTGAGAGCAGAGTATCTCCTGTGAGTGCCACACTGCCACACCAGACCCTATCTCACTCTTTGGAAGAAAAATTATGAAACTTCCTGCTTCCACCCAGTTAAAGGGTAAGGATAAAGACAATTTTCCACATGTTGTCTTTTTTACCAGCTCCTAAGAGAAAGGAAGACAAGGATAAGGAAGGAAAGGGAGGAAGGAATGAGAAGAGAATGAAGGGAAAAGGAAAGACAAAAGAAATTAAAAACCTTTCCTTTATGAGACTCCTGGAAATGTGCCAAGGACAATGTTGCAAAAGTAATCCACCAGTGTTCAAAAAATTAGGCTTGGAAGCCAGCAGACTTCTCCCATACTCTGTAAAGAGGTGGGGTGTTGTTTTTTTTTCTTGCCACCATCTCACAGCAAACACTTCTGTATTACAAAAAGCAGAGACACTGAAAGGATCGTTGCGAGTTAAACATGTTTTGCTTTCCATGTGCTATTAATGCTGAAGTGAGGGAGATGGATGCTCTTTGGCTTCTGACAATTGAAACACAATCCAGACCCATTTGTCAGAGAACCACAGGAGTATTACCTTTCTTTAAAATACAAAGATTGCTTTGGGATTCTCCATCAGACGTTCAAACCTGTTCATACGGGGTGTTCCCAGGATAAGCAATTTGGAATATCTGTCTTGTCTTATTTGCTTGTCTGTGCATAATAAAAGAAACCATGAAAGTAGCCAGGTTACATGAACAGGGTGAGTACGTTTGAATTGGTTGAATAGGTTGAAGAAAAATAGACACTATGTGACTATTTAGTCATTATATAGCTTTTGTTATTTTAGTAGGGACAAGCCACTTTATGAAGATCTACGTAAGGTCACTGTTTAGAAGAATATTCAGTAAGGCATTCAAACTGGGTATTAAGAGTTAGGGAATGAAATTATACCTTCTGCTACATCAGTTGTTTCCCTAAAAAGAATCTTTCATTGCTTTACTTTTAATTTTTTTTCTCCAGTTAGGTTTGCAGAGTTAAACTTGGCAGTAGCCAAGTCAACCTCTGAGCAAGCCTGAATTACTGCATCTGCAGCAGCACTGTGTTCCCCCTCATTTGTTGCAGGGACTTTTGGGGGCACACTCCATACTGCTTGTACTGGAGTGGGGTCAAATCTTTCTCGGTTAATTATGTCAAATAGGGCCATCATACCACACCTGCTTGTCTTCATGAGCATCCAGAAGGATTGAGGGAACCACTGGCCTTTCAGGAACACAGGCTATGTCCTCACCATGATGTAGGTGACTGCAAACATGAATGAAAGCAGAATTTTTGCTCAAATCCACATCACTAGTGCTTCCAGTTACTTCTGATTTGAAGTACTATCAAATCTAGGCAAGATTTTTTGGTGCAAAACAAAAAAAGATTAAGACAACAAAGAAGTCCCTCACTTTGAAGGATGGATGTGTCTAACTAGGACTGGCGTTCTTTGGG